AACTGACAGACCATAGTCTCCCCTTAAAGGCATGGAACGAGGAAGCTTCCTGAAGTATTTCCACACAGGAAGTTCCTCTTCTCTTTAGAAATGCATCATCAACCAAACACCTGCATCAACAACTCCACGAAAAATAAACTGCTGATGCCAGGGAAAGTGCCTAGGAAATTTTAAACTAGACACGGATTAGTACCAGCAAAAATCAAGAATCCAGGGCTTGGCCTAAAGGAAGGCTGACTTAGAGCCAGTTGCTGCTACCACACAGTCTTAATCAGATTATGAGAAGGCGTCTGCTACATAAATATTTAACTTAATCAACCAGCACCTTTTCCAGCTGAAGTTTCCCACACGTAGGTGGCAATTTTCTTCAAAGGCAGTGGTTCTCAACCGAGGGAGATTTTTGCCTTCCAGGGCATGTTCAGCAATGTCTGGATATTCATTTTTGGTTGTTACACTGGGGAAGGGTTGCTACTGGCATCTAGTGGGTAGAGATCAGGGAGGCTGCTAAACATCCTGCTGTGCACAGGACAATCCCCCACCACAAAGAACTATCCACCCAAAATGTCAAGAGTGCTGAGGCTGAGAAACCCTGTTCTAGGGCATTCGCTTTCCTTCCTTGGACCCTAGTAGTTCCTATGGGAGTAGCCTCATGGAAGGAAGGAAGGAAGGAAGAAAACCAAGACAGGCCAACGGTCAGCACGAGGCAGGAGAGGGGGTGCCTACTCAACTTACCTTGCTGTTGTAGAGCGGGAGATACTGAAACCTCTAGGTGACAGGTCATACCAAGTGTGATTTCCTTTCTTTCCAGGGGCAGGTAGATAATGCTGATCTCATCTGCTTTATTCTCTAGTGAATCTAACTGGCAAAACCATAGATGGGCTGATACTGTCTTTGTAATTGTTTGAAAGGCAGGAAAGTATCTTTGTGCAAATTGGCAGCCTTTCAGCTCCACGTCAGGCCCTGTCTTCTAAGAGTTTTCACGTGTGCTCAGAGGGAAGCCTAAACTCGCCTTTCATGAAGCAAAAAAAAAATCAAACGAAGAGGTTTACAGGGCTTTCTTGTTCTGGCACTATGGTGGGATACTGAGGTCTCCAGACAAAGGCTGTAAGCATGCACAATCCCTGACCCTGGGCTCTGCTCAACCTGAATTAGTATTGAGAACAGTCCTAAGCAAGCCCGCTGCCTTAGTATATCCCACCAGCCCAGCCTCAAAGGCAAAGAAGGAAAAGACCAATGGGCTTGGATGCTTCCAATGCACCATTAGGTGAAGTGAACCTTTGTGAGAAACCTATAGACCCTAAAAAGGTTTCCATTTTTCCCACTTGTTTTTTCTTGTCACTGAGTGGTAGAGTGCTGAATCTGAAGCCTGGCCTGAATACACAGTAAATATAAATTAACACATGAAATACAGAGTACAAAGGGCATCTGGGTTTCTTGATACTGCTCTTGATGCCCAAACCACCACCAACCTCCTGACTGAGAGGCCATGGTGGTTCTTGGGCAGGGGTGTCTCTCTCTCTCTCTCTCTCTATGTGTGTGTACAAGAAGGGGTTGGTTTGAGATTTAGAATGATCTCAATTCTTGACTATAAAACTAGCACAGGGAATTTCAAAATGAGGAAAGCCTCTTGTTATCATCAGAATTAAAAGATTTCTTTGGCTTAAGTTTCAGTGAAATAAAGGTCTTGTTAGTGTCTGTTATGCACATACAATTCCTTTTCCTCAATAATCACTGACTCTCTTGTTCAGGGAAACAGAATTTCCTGAAGAGATTAGCCAAGGTCTTTTCCTTCCTGTTCTGAAAACACGCTCAACATTCTCATTTGAGATTTCTGGAATGACTGAACCCAGTCAAGTGCCTAATTCAGGAAGGTTTGAGGTCTTTGCCTGTTTAGAGTGGGAGAGGACTCTCTTTCCATTTGACAGATCCTCACTGGCTGACCAGATTCTATCATTTATTCAGAAGTATTTGACGGAAAAGCCTTTCCTCGGAATCATGACTTTCAGTTTTTCACGTTCATTTAAGGAGGAAATAACTTTTCCCACAAGCTGCCTCTCTACACATTTCTCAGCACCACTGCACAGTCCCAAGTAAGCCCGGGGCTGATCCCAGACCTGACTCATCTGTCTATTTGGCCCATCCGCAGTGGAGTTAGCCAGGTTCAAGCAGAGCCCATGCTTCTGTCTACAGACTCATATCCTCTTCTTTTTAGCAGATTCTGTGCTGAGAGTGTGATCCCATTAAAAAAAAAAAAAAAAAAGGCAACAGGGCTCTACCTCAGGACCCTGAGACCATGACCTGAGCCAAAGGCAGACGCTTAACCAACTGAGCTACCCAGGTACCCCTCTGGTTTTGACTTATTAAAAACACTCTGAATCTGAAAGCAGAGTCACGCTTTATGAATCCGGTCTGCTGCTTTAGCGAGGGAAGATTAATCCATTGCTGGATATAGAGCACATTAACCCCGAACTCAATACTCAAACCATGAAAATGACTCAGTCCTCAGAATGCGTCCAAAAAGACCTTCCCTTTACTCAGCCTCTAGGGGACTGTGGAACTGACACACTGAGCTTTTCCCCCTCCCATTGTTTTCACTTCCCATGAGCTCAGCAGGAGCAGAGCCAGGAGTGTGCTCCTCCCCTCCTGACCAAAGGCCTTTGCTGGGAGGAGGCAAAAACTCTTCCCAACGCCTTTGACTTTATAAGGTGGACCTGTGGAACCAGGCTTCTGATTTGCGCCCCCAACTTGAGGCGGATGCACACAGAGCACACAACTCCACCACCCTCTTTCTCTCTCTTTTCTTCCAGTCTTGCATTTCAACACCAGTCCCCTGCCGAGAAACACACTTTGAGGTGACCAGCTCATCAGTGTCTGGTCCCAGCCTTCACAGGGTATTGGTAGTGGGAGGCTTATTCTTAGAAATCAGTGAAATAAATATGCTATCATAAACAACTAAGCAGTGACCGAACTCTGAGCACTTCCAGGCTACATACTAGGCTACAAATAAAATACAGTAATGTCCAGTAATTTCTTAAAATCTTCCAGCTACATCAAAATTCAGAATGTTTCTAGCAACCAAGGATTAAATGAAAAGGAAATGATTAGTTGTCCTCAAATCCAAACACTCTGTATGCCTGCCTGTGGACTCTTTTTTATATTCCAGCTTATATTTAATGCAATTTTAACAGGCTTGTTTACTTCATTTTCTAGCTCACTGAAGATGAGAAGCAAGGGACAGACTGCTAAAGGCAGGCCCAGGGACAGCAGTGAGAAGTAACCGCAGGAGAAAAGAATACCTGCTATCCGGGTAAGGGGGAAGAACAGAAGCTACATACACACTAAGAGGCACTAAACAAGAACTTCAATACCCAACTCAACCTGCACACTCATTTAGGAACATTCAATACAAAGCAGTCCCAAATGTCTCTAATATCCTTGAGGATATCACCATTGGAGAGAACAGCATCATCTTTTTACTAATGCTAACCTGCCCTCATCAAGAAAAACGTCTGCACAACATAGTGGTTAGAAAATTAGGCAAATAAAATATAAAATCTAGTTTGATAAAACTATTTTGGAGCCCAAAGGGATAGGCTTCAGTTTTCTAAGAAATTCATTTAGTTGGTTAGACAGTTAATCCTAAGTAACCCAGAGCCTGTAGAAGACAGTCTTTCCTTTGAGGCGCTTACAGTGGAAGAGGCAGGAACACCACACTGATGAAGCAAGAAAGGCCACCCTGCCCCTGGAATGGAGGTGTGGGAGTTTCCAAGAGGAAAACATGTGAGCTCACGGGTCTGAATTTTCCCTTCCTCCCCTCTCCTTATTTGGGGCCTCAAGAATCCCCAAAACGGTGACTTGTCACTCCAAAGTGCACTGTCTCCAGACACTGTAAGGGATCTTCAGCCAATGTCCCGCTTCAGAGCTGAACATCCCCTAAGCTGAGGGCCCTTCTGAAACAGCCACCCTTCTGTACTTGGGTCTTGTAACTTTTCTCAGGACCACGGGGCTCTGACCTGGTGTCAACACCATCTCTCCATCTTTGTCTGTACTCGAAAGAATCCTGACAGGCGTGGGGCTGGGGGCAGGGGGGTGCTCTAGAGAACAAACTCTGATGGCAGGAGTATGATGGTGTGGATGGGAACAAAGTGCGGCCAGTAGCCTTTCCACATCTACTCTGTGCACCAGGACGGAAAAGCAGCAGAGGGGCCTCCAGCAGTGCAGTAAGGCCCTTTTTGGCATTGACAACAGAGGAAACTCAGGATGAAAGGCTCCTATCCCAAGAGCCATGACCCAACAGACAGTCCTGAGAGTTCCAAGCCCCTAACCTGGCAAAATCGCATTTTTGAGTCAACTCCTTCCATCTTCCCCTGTTGTTTTAATTTTGACTCACAAAATCTCAGAACTGGAAATTCTGACTTAGGCAAAGAATTAAAACATATTTGCAGTTAGGGCAGTGCTTTTCAAATTCTGCTATAGGCCAAGAACTTGTACTCCTGTGGGTCTGGGGCATAGTCTTAAGCACTGCCTGCTATAAGAGGGAAACTTCTTTGAAGTGTCATGTCTTATCTTAATAAGTCATGAGAATTTTGATTTTATTTCATAATACATCAATAACTTTCCCCTGAAATATGAGGGGAAAAAAACCAACACTTTAGGAAGATGACCCTTGTTCATCTTATGACTTCTCACACCTCAACTGAAAAACAGGGACCTGGAGAAACATCCACTGCTGTTACAAATCACAAGAGGAGATTCTCAGAGTAAGCAGTAACATTTGGAAATTTCTTTCTATACCCTCAGTTGGTTATCAACACTGAAATAAATTACAATAGAAAAATGTTCAAACCAGTTGCCCGGAATTCAAGAGACTGTTTAGTCTCCAGACAGTGTGCTTTGGTGGTGTTGGAAGCAAGAATAGCAGCCCGGGGACAGAAGTTACGATGTATATACAACGGGTTTCCAAGCTACATGAAAAGAAACACGTATCAGATAGCAAAAGATTAAAAAGCAAGGGCAAGACTTACTTTAAAATCTGCTAGTTGTTGGTTGATGAGATCTACTTCAGTCCCCACGACCCATTGGAGGGCCTCCCCCTCTTCTGCCGCCGTGGTCATGTCATTGAGGGCTTTCAGCTTCCTGTAGAAGTCCTCCACGCGGCCCAGCGTCAGCTCCAGCTGCTCCTGGCGAGCCCTGCTCCTCTCTGTCAGTTTACCACACTGCTTGTTCAGGGCTTCGAGCTCCCTCTTGAGACCTAACAAGTCCAGAGTCCCCTCTTCCTCCAGCATCTGCCGACACTCGGCTTCAGAGGCCTCTATGTCTAACCTGAGGGCTTGGATTTTGTGGAGGAATAGCCGTACATCCTCAATTTGGGACTGAAGGCTATCGGTGTCTCTGCCGATGGCACCCATGCCGTCTAGTTCATCGTCCAGGTCCGCCAGCTGAGAAAACATCTCTCGGACTCGGCAGTGAAACTGACCAATCCCCTCCAGCTTGTTTTCCATCGTCATGCAACTGCTGTTCACTCTTTGCTTCACTTCCAGGAACTCTTGCTGGGTGACCTCGGCTTGATGAAGAAGTTGGGAAGCATCAGATCCATCTGGGGCATCTTCTACCAGGCCCCAAGTGAAGTTCCTCAGATAGTCTACCTGGGGCTCCAGGGTCTGCAGCACTTCCTGTTGAGCTCTTAGCTTCTCCAGGTTCTTGTTGCTACAGGCTTGAGAGCCTAAAGCATCAAAGATCTCAAGTTGGTGTTTGGCCCCTTCAACCTTCTTTTCGATATTTTTAAAGCTTTCCTGGAACTCCTTGAGCCTCTGAGTCATTTCTTCAAGAGACCCTGTTTTGGCCTGTAGTTCTTCTGTAATGGAATCCATGTTCTGGTTGATCCCAGCCTTCTCATCCCGGATATCATCTTCATCCGTTTCTGAGGAGTTGATCAGAATGTCAGCAGCACTGTTCAGGATTTCTAGCAGGGAGCGGCGCTTTTCCACCTCACTCAGCATAGCCTTTGATCTCAGGAGACTGGACTCTAGCTGCACCGGATCCAGAGTGACCTGCAAGTCCGACATCTTAGCCTTACAATCTTCTATCCATGGCACGAGGTCTTCCACATGCCACTGATATTTCTGAGCTTTCTGCAGACAGTCCTTGAGCCTGGATTGTCTGTCTGCAGTTTTTTTACTAAGCTCTTCCCAGTGGCTTTTGAGCTCAACCAACTGGTTTTGTAAAGTCTTTTTCTCTTCTCCAGGAGGTACAGAAAGAAGCAGAGATTCTCCTTCGGCCACAATCACCTCATAGGAACCACTGTGTTGATTAAGGCTCTTCTGAAACTCTTCATTCTCCTGGAGCTGAGACTGTAACCGCTCCAATTTTGCAGAAATTGGGCAGTTTTTCGCTTGCTGGCTTTGTTTGTCATCCAACCAGGTTCTCAGCTCATCAAACATTTGCTGGAACTGCTGGGTGCTGGCAAGAGCTGCCTGGAGTCTGTTCATGCGATCAGCTGAAATGAGAAAATCAAATTTAAACCAGTCAAATCTGAACATGGCATTTAAAATGTTTGCTGAGAGTATATGGGCTAATCTTAGGGGAAGGAAACTAATGTTAACTGAGGGCCTACCATAAAAGCAGCACAAAGCTGGTCTCCTTCATATACTAGATCTTATTTAATCCTCACACCAACCTTGTAAGGTGATCTGAATAACAGAAGTAAACTTTTATTCCTAAGCTGGTAAAAAGCCATAAATGTTTCTACAGAAAGGCAACAAATTGATGATAAAATTCTTCTTGTACAAGACCATCATAAGCATCTAATTCTGCAATATGGTATATGTGTGTGTGTGTGTGTGCATGCACATGGTATAAATGAGTGTTAGTAAAAGTATGTGTGTAACTCCACCTATAAATATATCTGTGAGCATGAATCTCTACCTGCTGACAAAATTGATATTAGTGCTCTTATCTCCGGGATTATGCTATATAAAGCTTCACATATTGTTAGTGCTCAGTCAATGTGTGATAACCATAGCGGTTCTCACTATAGCTGGACCAAGGGTTAGGGTAACACTAGTCTGAGTCCAAAAGCTGCTTACAGGTCACCCTAGATTCTTGGGACTATTATCACGAAGCCAATCTTTTGGCTTGCCACTAATGTCAGCAGTGTGTGCCTACCCTACCTTACCTGCAAGGTCTTCTAAACCTTGGAGAGGCAGGGCAACTGTCTCCAGACGCTTCTTCAGCTCATCCTTGAGGTACTGCTCCCCAATGAGTACTGAGAGCTCATCGCAAAGTGTCTGTGCCTCCTTAATCTCATGGTCCAGCTGCTCCACATCAGATCGAATCTCACTGGTCTCCTCTAGTTGCTGCTTCACTGCCTCAGGTTGGGTACTGATGGCCGACTGGCCACTTAGTCGCTGCCCCACTGCCTTGACCTTCTCTGATAAGTCCTGGAGCAGTTCTTGGTACTGGGTGCTTTTGACAATAGCTTGGTCAATTTGGCTGGAACGGGAATTGAGTTTGTCAGTCAGCTCAATCCACTTCTGATTGATGCTCTGGAGTTCTTTCTGTACTTGGCTGGTGGATGGAGAGACATCTCCAGGGCCTGTTAGGATGCCCTGAGCTGCCTCATTCAGTTGCTCATGCTGTTGCCTGCGTGCTTCGAACTCCTTCAGCATAAACTGTAATAGAAATGACATCAAGATGTTTAGAGAGAAAAGACAGATCTAAAAAGAGTGTCAAAACAAAAACTGATTTTGGATTGTGCCAAGTAGTGCCAACTCCTTTCAAAAATAAACCAGAAAACTCCAAGGAACAGGCTACTAGGAAAATGCAGTATCACTTCTAACAACTGCTTAATAAAAACTTGTTTTAAAAGGGTCATTGAGGGCACCTGGGTGGCTCAGTCGTTAGCGTCTGCCTTCGGCTCAAGTCACGGTCCCAGGGTCCTGGGATTGAGTCCCACATCGGGCTCCCTGCTTAGCGGGAAGCCTGCTTCTCCCTCTCCCACTCCCTCTGCTTGTGTTCCCTCTCTCGCTGTGTCTCTCTCTGTCAAATAAATAAATAAAATCTTTAAAAAAAAAAAAAAAAAGAAAGAAAGGGTCATTGATTGTGCCTCTTCTATTTCTTCCTTATTTGTCCTACTCTGTTTCAATATCAGTTACTAAGGTTGGCCTTGTTTTCTGGATTGGCACTCATCAGCTTTGCCAGACAAAACCCAGGCCTCTGAATTGCAAGTCTGGAACCCTGGGACCCAGAGCTAGCTATATTACTGGCTGGGCTTGCCATTTCAACTCCCTATACGTCTGTTTTTCCTAGTTTCTTTCTTGGAATTCCAACAGCACATACAATCTATACATTACAACATAGCATGAGTAGACAGTGAGCTTCTTTAAAGCAAGTAGCATGTCTTTTTACTCCTTTCTATCCACTATTTCACTCAGCAAAGTAGTTAGGGTTACAGGCTCTGGAATCAGACTGCTTGGGTTCAAATCCTGACTCTATCACTTGCGAGCTGTATATATAACCTTAGGTGAGTTTTTAAAGTTCTCCAAATCTCAGCTTCCTCATCTATAAAATGAGGATAGAAAGTACTTATCTTGGCTATTTTAAGGATTAAGTAAGATAATTTATGGAAAGTATTCATCACTCACACTGTACATAAGTAAGTAAGACATGACTTTAAGGAAGAACAGATGCGTGAACGATGAACTAAAACAATGTAAAAAAAAAGAATGATAGGGGCGCCTGGGTGGCTCAGTCGTTAAGCGTCTGCCTTCGGCTCAGGTCATGATCCCAGGGTCCTGGGATCGAGCCCCGCATTGGGCTCCCTGCTCAGCCAGGAGCCTGCTTCTCCCTCTCCCACTCCCCGGCTTGTGTTCCCTCTCTAGCTGTCTCTCTCTCTCTGTCAAATAAATAAATAAAATCTTTAAAAAAAAAAAAAAGAATGATAAACACTGATGTGAACATGGCACTGTGAAAGCAAGAAGTAAGGATGATTAATTCTGTGGAAGATGACAAAAGGACGAGGGAAGTCAGGAAAGGCTTCACAAAGGATACAGGAAGTTCTCCCAGTGAGAAAGAGAGAGAGCCATTTTAGCAAAGGGCCTAGGATTAGCAAAGGCACAGAGCGGTATGAGTATGGTGTGTTCAAGGAAAGGACGAGTTACCCGGTGTGTGCAGAAACCTGGGTATATGGGAGAAGAGGGGGAAATGAGGCTGGCAAGACAAACTGGGACCAGATCGTGGAAAGCCTCATATACCACACTGAGCAGGTACTTGGACTTTGTTCAATCGGCAGCCAAGAGCCAGTGAAGCATTTTCAGGTACTCAGGTGTGTGAGTTAAGGAGATAATTTGGTAACCGTGTGGAGAATGCACTAGACAAAGAAGCCCATTAGAAGGCTGTTGCGATGGTACAGGCCTGAGATCAAACCTCCCTAAGGGAGGAGCACTTAGAATGGAGACTTAGAACAGCAGTTCTCAAAGTATGCTCCAGGGATCCTTGGGAGTCTCCAGGCCCTTTCAGAGGGCCCATGAGGTCAAACTAATTTCATAATAATACTAAGATATTATTTGCCTTTTATAATTTTTCTCTCACAAACGTTCACTGTTTTACAGAGGCTACATGACATCTAGTATTGCAATAGATTGAGTGCAGAAGCAGATATGAAAATGTATGAGAATATTCTATTAAGTCAGACATCAAAGAGATTTGCAAAGCCATAAAACAATACCACTCTTATTAAAGTTTCTATGTTTGGAAAATGTTATTTTTTCATAAAAAATGTTACTTATGTTAATGTTACAGTTTTACCATTATTATTTTTAAATTAATTAATAAATACATATTTTCAAATTCCTCAGTGTTTTTGTTTTTGTTTTTAAGTAGGCTCCACACCCAGTGTGGGGCTTGAACTCACAACCCTGAGATCAAGACCTGAGCTGAGATCAACAGTCAGATGCTTAACTGACTAAACCACCCAAGTACCCCTTAGTGTTTTAATACAGTAAATATTAATAGATATCAATAGTTAAACACAAGCTCTTTGGGGACCTCAATAATTTTTTTAAAAAGATTTTACTTATTTATTTATTTTAGAGAGAGAGAGACAAAGAGAGAGGGTGGAGGGAGGGGCAGAGGGAGAGGGAGAGACAGAATCTCAAGTAGCTCCGTGCTGAACACAGAGCCCAACGTGGAGCTCGATTTCACGATCCTGAGATCATGACCTGAGCCAAAATCATGAATTGGGACCCTTACTCAACTGAGCTACCCAGGTGCCCCTGGGGTCTTCAAATTTTTTTAAGAGCCTAGAAGTGTTTTGAGACCAAAGAGTCTGAAAACCACTGGAATAGAAAAATATTTGTACGTGAGCTAAAGAGGACTTGATAATTAATTGGATGAAGCGGCTAAAAGAAAGGGTTCCTTCAAAAACTACTCTTAAGTCTTTAATTTAGGGAACTTGGTGGATGGTGAGAAGAAATGGAACAAGTTTGGAAGAGTTTGGGGATGTAGAATAATAGAAGTTTCTCTGGTGCTTACCAAAAAAAAAAAGAAGAAGAAGAAGAGGAGGAAGAGGAAGAGGAAGAAGTTCTCAACAGGAATTCATTAGAAATGATATAATTTGACCAACCTAAATTTCCATGATGGTAGGCACTTAAATCAATTTTTTTTTGCGGTTTGAGCAACAGAGAACCTTTAAGTGAAGCCAGCAGATATAAGACATTACATTAAGTAATATGGTCACTACTATTGGGGATTAAAAGTAAAATACGATTCTGCAAAGTAGTCAGAAATTCCCCATTCTTACATCCATTCATCTTACTGCCTGTTAATGATATTAATAATACAGTTATTGACTATTTATTATTTGACAGGCACCGTGATAAGGCCCTTATAAACATCTCATTTAAACCAAGGAAACGGAACTCTGGAAGGTTAACTGACTTGTCTAGGGTCATTTGAAATCTACTTGCTGAGAACAGCATTCAAAACCAGGTTCACGGGGTTCTAATTTCTTTGCTTAATGCAGTAAGCTTTGTGGCTCACCTGGACCTGCTGCTTTTGTGCAGTCAGCATGTTGGGGTCAATAGACAGGGGCCCCAGCACCCCCATCATCAGTTCCTTCTCCATCAGCCAGGGCCGGAGCTGGGATTCTGCAGCCTGGAAGCTGGCCAGATGACTTGCAGATTCCTCCAGCTGCCTTTGCCGGGCCATGGTCACTTCGGTGGCCCTTTCCCATCGGGAATCTGTAGAGGGGAAATGAGAGAATGTGTTCCTTTAGTCTCACCAGCCACTGGCCTGATCCCTAAGTTATGTTCCTAATATACTACAGGAAATGACCCCTGCAGCATTAGTTAAAAATAACCTTCATTTAATTTTAACTAAAGTAACACAGTTCTGTACTTAATCGTGGTGGTGGTTACACGAAACTACACAGAACTACACACACACACGCACACACACACACACAGATACGGATGTATGGCTATCTTATCTATATTATTTTATGGCCTGTTTTTTAACTCTTACTATATTATAAACATCTTTACTGCCAATGTTTTTTCATGCCAATAAACATTCACCAGTCTCATTTATATATAGTTCAATATGAATGCAGAATAATTCACCTAATCCTTCCAGTGAATAGATTATTTCCCATTTTTCATTTTCATCACCAATGCTCTCCTTATCACAGCAGATTATCAGATTGACTTGCCCAAGAAAGCCAAACCTCTGAGACTTTTGAGTGGAATCTCTAGATTCTTTTCCCTAATCAGACTCACTCACTCTCTAGCCCTATTTGGACCTCTTGATTGCTTATGAAAATTAACTAAAAATAAGTCCTGCTTTATAGGATGTGCTGAAATTCTATATTTGCTTTGAAGACAAGCAATGTAATGAATTTGCAACATCCCTCTGAATACTTACTGAGTTCCTCTTGCATTTCCTTCCAGTTTTGTGCTTCTTGTGAGTTGGGATATGTCATCAGTAATCCAGCCAGGGCTTCCTTTACTTTTTGGATTTTTGGAGAATTCTGTTCCAATTCAGCCAGGAAGGCCTAGGAGAGAGAACACCGGGGATGCCATGAGATTTCTGCATAGGAAACAGAGCTGTGTGTGTGGAGGAAAGTACTAGAAGACTGGGCCGCAATTATAGGCTCCACTTCTGATTCTATCAGTGTCTTATTTCATGATTTTAAGATACTTTAACATTTCTGCTTTGATTTTTACTTTAAAATGAAAATCTGAGTAGCAGGATCTAAATTTCTTTTATGGACAACATATCGGTAGAACCCAGTAAGAAGGTATTATTCAACCCCCCACATAGAAAGTGTCAGGTATGATAATGATGATGGTGGCATCAAGGACATTTAGGTAGCTGAAGAAGATGGCATACTCTGTCCAGTTAGAATATAAAAAAGTTTGGCAAAAAATTTTTTTTGATAGGACTTTCTATATGGTCTTGTTTCTCCTGATAGTTTTCCTAGTCCTACATGTCAACCTGAAGAATGAACTGTAATCACAGCTACACTTAAATCGCCCCAAGGGTTGCAAAGGGGCTTTGATGAGAATGGTTTGGCTTACAGAATCATAGGGAAAACCAGATCCCATTCTCAGTGCGCTGATAACTTCAGGGGAGGGATATTCTCTTTCTATAAACAGATTTGGTTGGTTTTTTTTTTTAAGTTTTATTTATTTTAGTAATCTCTACATTCCATGTGGGGCTTGAACTCATGAGCCAGAGATCAAGAGTCGCATGCTCTTCCGATGGAGCCAATCAGGTGTGCCTGGTTTTGTAGCTGAATATTATTCATAATAATTTCTCATTTCATAGGTAAGAAAATTCTTTAGGAGAGTTTAAGCATATTAATCCTTTGAAAGGGCTCCTCATGGCCTGGGTGGATGGCCGTGTCCCTCGCTCAGGTCCTGGGCTTGGGTAGAACACCGTACAACAGCCCCTTCCTCTTAGTGTCTGGGACGCAGCTAATGCAAACACAGTACCTTGTTAGATTCAGCTTGGGCTCTCACTGTTTCTGGCTTGGTTGGAGATGAAGAGGCATCCATGGCTTTCAGGACTTCCTCTTTTGATTCCAGCCACTGCAGCACTGAGCCTGCTTCCTTCTGAACTTCCTGCATTCTGCTGAGGACAGCCTGAAGGCTTTCCTGGTGTTCCTGAAGCACTCCCCCCAGTTTCTCATATTTCAAGTTTACATCTGACATGTCACACTGGATCTCCGTCAGATCTAGCATCACAGAAACAAAAATCAGATCGGGAATAGTTCTCCAAGCCTCCCCATGGGTTCCTCATGCTAAATTACTCATCAGGATTAAACGTCTCTCCTACTCCTTCTAGTGAACTAGAGATTCACTTCCTGCTAAATCACATAAAAGTTCTTGTTTATATATACAAAGCAAAGGAGCTTTCATTAATCTGCTTTCAGATTTTGACATGAGGTATTCAGATGTACAAATAAAATGCTAAATACACTTGGGAACTGCAGAAGTGAAGGGAGTGAAGGATTTGGTGCATTCTTCTGTTCCCTCTTGTCCAAGCAGGGAAATCATGGGGTTAGACTAGACTACCTCTAACGTGGCTTCTTTATGACTCAAAGATTCACATATATTTTCTTCAAGCTCTTTCCTTACTGGTCTTATCTAGTGGTCCAATTTATTTCCTAGTACTATCTCACTGGCTGCCAACCTGCTTAGCCTTTAGCAACCCAGCAAAGGAGCATCACAGTGGCTTTTCCCCAGATTTTTACCCTCATACCCATCCTGGCGGCGGTTCTTTCACACATACAAAAACATACACAGATGCCAACGTGAACACTGTCCTAACACATCCAACAGAGAGGCACTGTGAAATGGCATTCTCACCTTTGCAGGTGTGGTATCCGTTTACACTGCCTACAGAGCTTCCTACAGAGGGCAGTATGGAACCTGAGCAGAAGGACAGGGAGACAAACAGGGCAAGACAAACGTGTTAGGAATACATACAGGCACTGAATTTGTTCTCTGGCACTCACTTTAAGCTCAGGTATCAGGAGGTTAACACAGCACAAGACAACATACTCATGGAAAGAGACAAATCATTTTAGCTGCCAGGCAACAGAGCATCACTCAGGTGTCTTGGCTTCTTAGCGGTAGTGGTTCCTAACCCTTTCTAAAGGAAACCCGAATTCCCTTCCTTGATCTCTGACTTGAATTCTTTGGATCCTGCCATAATGTTGCAAACAAGTATTGATAAAATAATTAAGTCTTTAGAATATCTGTGCTGTCTGCCACACTTTGGAACGAGGATTTGTAATAAAGCCAAAAAGGTTCAACTTTAACATCAATGTTCTTCAACATGATAAAAATGAACAATAAGTGTAATTAAGGACAGAAAAAACAGTATTCTTTTAATAAAGACATTAAAATGAGTCCTTATATTGCTTCAAAAGGCAGATTCTCTGTCTTTTCTATCATGAAAACTTTCTCCTCTCCTTCCCCACCAGAAAACGGAAATTCTAAGCGCCAATAAATCTGGCTCATAAATATTCCCATAAATTCTGCTTTGGGCCTTTGGTTCTGTTTCTGATTACCACGATTTCACCTATATTCTCCCCCAGGTTGATTCCTTATATTTCAGGAGTGTCCCAAGTTAAATAAAAATCAGATCATGCAATTACAGAAATTATACAGAAATGTGAAGAATATTCATGATATAATGTTACAAGGACAGAATAAAACTCTCATGTGCACTGATTTCACTGGAAAAAGTTTTATGTTAAGGTTATATTAAAAAATAGTAATTGTGAAACTTTTAAATGTTAACATTACTGTATTTTCTCTCTTTTTTTCCTTAAGTAGGCTCCACACCCAGTGTGAAGACCAACGCGGGGCCTGAATTCAGGATGCTGAGATCAAAACCCGAGCTGAGATCAAGAGTTGGATGCTTAACTGACCAAGTCACCCAGGTGCCCCGACATTATTGTATTTTCAGTGAAAAATAGATCAAACAAAAAGATCGTATTCCATTGCAGTAGGGTGATGACCAAAAAAGAAACTGGACTAGTAATTGGGAGAAGGTGGTCCTGGCCAAGACCGTCACTCACTCAGTATGTGAGCCTTAGAGTACGGATGGACCTCAGTGTCTTCTCTAGGATATGAAGATAATACTAGCTATCCTGTCAGCACTGATGGGGTTACTGGAGAGAAGTAATGAGGTAGTGTACGTGAAAGCACTTTATGAAACAAAAAGAGCTACATTAATGTCAAGAACTGTAATATTCATGATTTTTCAGAGGTAGAATAGAACTTTGAGAGCACTCAGGGCTAGTGATTTTCAAAGCAGCAAAAGAGGTATTGTAGGGACTCTGTAAATGTTTGGTTTAAATTTAACCTTCAGAATATATTTCGGATTACTTAGAAATGGCAAGAAAACATGCACATTCAATTATGTTGAACACCACATCTTGACCCACTAGATATAACCAATTTATGCTGCTTTGGGGAGAGAATGAAGTAGCTCCTGTACCTCCCTGCCTACATTTAAACTTCGTTTTGAGTGTCACTGATTGGAAAAGCTATAGCTCTCTGCTAGCACTTTACAGTAGTCAAACCTACACATGTCCTCTCATACAAAGAAAGACATTTACAGCATGTGTGTACTATATTAAAGAAAGTGACAAGAAAGGCTAAGGTGCATCTACTCAAAGCAGGCTTTCTCATTAGGGTAGAACCGTGTAGTAACAGAATTCTTAACATGTCAGGTCATGATGACATCAAGTTCCAGGCAAGCTTTTGTTCTCAATGCCAGTTTTAGGAGTTTTCTATGTTTAAGAAAAGAATGTGAACCTTCATTAAAATTCTTGTGATTTAACTTTGAAACAAGAATTTATTACATCACTTTCAAGCTTCTAGTTCAGTTTAATTGAGGAGTGTTCTGAGACTCTAAGGGGAACTTTTTTTTTCCATCTTGAATCAAGTATATTTGTGTTTGAATTTAGGCTGCATCACTTCATAGTGGGTGACGTCTTAGTTACTGTGCCCCCTTCACCTGTACTAAATGTACAATTTCTACCCCATAACTCTTGAGGAGATTAATAAATGAGTAATTAATGGGAAACTGGTTAGCAATCTACAGGATAATAATACTTGAGATTTATCTTTTCCATTGGGCAAAATTTACTTGAATTCCTATGGACAAATCATTTGCATTACTATCAATTATCTACAAAACTCTAGAATAGAACAGATATTCAGTTAAAGATGCACACTCAGAACCAAATCATTTCCAAAAGCTTATTAGAGGGGCGCCTGGGTGGGTCAGTCGTTAAGCGTCTGCCTTCGGTTCAGGTCATGATCCCGGGGTCCTGGGATCGAGCCCCGCATCGGGCTCCCTGCTCCGTGGGAAGCCTGGATGGCTCAGTCGTTAAGCGTCTGCCTTCGGCTCAGGTCATGATCCCAGGGTCCTGGGATCGAGCCCCGCATCGGGCTCGCTGCTCCGTGGGAAGCCTGCTTCTCCCTCTCCCACTCCCCCTGCTTGTGTTCCCTCTCTTGCTGTCTTTCTATCAAAAAATAAATAAAATCTAAACAAACAAACAAACAAACAAACCCAAGCCTATTAGACAATGCCCAACACTTCACTGAAAGGACACCCAATACTTTTCTGTTGTCCATTTCCAAGACTTTGACAATTTTTTCTGACACAGGTGAACCATAAAGTGAACTTTTAAAAACATTTGTCATCCTTTACAACTACTTATCTGTGTAACCTGTATTTCCTGGATACAATGCAATCAAACAAAATGGAAAAATAAATCTGATAATAAAGCTGTCATCCAAAAATCCTTTGTCGAATCTTTATATTCCCTAGGATAGCCTCAATATTTTCACTGATGGATTTCATGATAGATAAAATGCTATAAATTCACTTATAAGGGAAATTTATGCCAACAAAATATCATTTGTATCTGTTTTATGTAGTAGAGTTGTATTTGAGATTATTTATTTATTTATTTATTTATTTTAAAGATTTTATTTATTTATTTGAGAGAGAGAATGAGAGAGAGCACATCAGAGGGGTTAGGGTCAGAGGGAGCAGCAGACTTCCTGCCGAGCAGGGAGCCCGATGCGGGACTCGATCCAGGGACTCCAGGATCATGACCTGAGCCGAAGGCAGTCGCTTAACCAACTGAGCCACCCAGGCACCCTGTATTTGAGATTATTTAAAAAAAAGATTTTAGTGCTTTAAAATGTTTGAAAAACCAATGATCTAGTCTAGAAGTCAGAAAACTATACTGGCCAAATCTGGCCCTCTGCCAATTTCTGTATATAATGTTTTATGTGAACACAGCCACACCCGTCCACTTGTATGCTGTGTGTCCCTGTTTCTGTGCCGCAGTGGTAGGGATGTGTAGTGTGACAGAGAACATGTGGCTCACAAGCCTAAAGTATTTACTACATGGCCCTTTACAGAAAAAGCTTGCAGACTCCTGATGTAGTCACACACTAGTAAGTCCCTGAACTTTTCTAAGTTTCATGTGTTGCAATATAAGAATCATCAATTCCCTGAAATGCTGTCATTTCTGGGTAGTTCCAACAGATCTTTAAACTTCAACAGAAAAGTGGCTGTTCTCAGGAGGAAAAAATAAACTTTTCCCTTACGATTAAAGTGACTGTAGGTGTGCACTAACACAGTCTGGCAATAAAACCTATAAGGTCCCAATTAAAAACCAGAAAGTGACTGTGAGCTCATATGGATTTTGTTTGAAAGACTTAATTTGCAGCCAGAGATTATTCATATATCTGGGCACAATCTTTGTATCCACTTCCAAGAAATGTGGCAGTCCTTGGCAGACCAACACTGACTCCTAAATACCTAGTCTCTCTCAAGATATCATGCTTATACCCTTCAGGGCTGACTCCAATCTAAAGATGATGCATAGCCATCCATTCCCATGTTTAAAAAGAATAAATTCGCCAAGATGGAAATTCTATTTTAATCCTTCTCTGTTCATTTAGGCCAACTAGTCCCTTTACTTTTTCCCATCACAGGAAGGAATTTTGTAAAATGGAGCAAAGATCAGGTTGGGGAAGAGATGGGGAAAAGATCAGATTGAGGGGAAAGACTGCTTTGTGGATCACTCCCCTTTGTTCTCATACCCAACCTTCATTCTGACTTTTATTAAATAAGGGGTCATAACGAAAGGCCAAAGGCCAAAGTGAAGAATAATGTTTATTTACTGCATTCTTAAGAGCCTGCACTCACCTGTCTTGGCTTGGGAATCAGGTGCTGTGATCTCCACGATGAGATTTTCTAAAGAAGTGCCTTTGCAGTTGATTTCTTCCACCAAACTTCCCTTACTTGCCCAGTCATCTAGAAGACCCTGTTAACAGAACAGCTAAATGTAACATCTGGGGGCATTCTCCTCATCAGTAGGGACACCTGTTCTTGTACATATACTCCCTAAATTTTTGATAAGCATTAAGTGACTATCCTCACGTATTCAGCCACTTCAAGATTTTGGTTTAGCCAGCCATGATGTGGGAGAATGATATCCTGGAATATTCAGGATCTTTCCATTCATTCATTCATCAATTATTTATTGAGCATTACTGTAGGCCAGGCATCATGCCTAACACTGGGGATACAAAATAGGATTATGACACAGTTCCTAAAACCAAGAGGTCAGATTATCAACTGCATTATAATGTGATAAATGTTATTACAGAAATACACAGTAAACTCTGAGAGCACAAGAGGAGACACATCTAACTCTGCCTAGAGAGAGGAAAGCTTTGAGTGAAGACAAAGGTAGTAAAAGGGAATGGAATGCATGTAAAGAATAAAAAGGAAATGGCAAATGGAGGGTAAAATGAGGAGCTAGATGTTGAGATGTAGAGAAATACAGAGAATCGTAGGCTACACTCTGCATTTTCAAGGAGACTTTATATTGGGCTTGAAGCCAGAGCTCTGACTGCCACAGAAAACCATTAGGAAACAAAGGCATCTGCTGTAACAAGGTCGTATTGTCTCTACATGTGGATTGCCTGCGACAGAAGTAGAATTCCACTTCTTCCAAAGCAGGGACACCTTCTTAGCCTTGAATCCCTTTCTCCACACTGAATTTCCCTGACAATTTACTTAGTTTGCTTTTGACTTTAAGCTGCCCAGCAGCAGAGAAAGACAGAGCCATGGGTATCCAGCAAGCTCATGCTGCCGAACTGCAAACTGAGCCTTGTCAATTCACAGCTATAAATTCCTTTATTAATCACTCCAGATTCCAAAGAGCCACAGTTCCCAAACCATGCATTGACTCACAGGGTATTTTCAAGTTTTGAGGGAAATACAGTGACATCTGTTGGACACCATGTGAACAACTACTATGAAGTTGTTTAGACCTAACCACGTAGCAAGTGAGACTTTTTAGTTTTTTCTTTTCTTTTTCTTTTTTTTTTGCCTTGAGGTACCATGAAAAATTTCTTGAAACACTAAGGGCACTGTGAACCTAGAAACTGGGAAGCCTCTGCCCCAGGGGATTCCCTGCAGCAAATGCTCCTGGCACTCTCTCTGTGAAAGCAACCAAACTCTTTCCCTCTCGTCTGGCTCAAAATAAATCCTGCTTTACTAAGAAAATAAGGAGAATGCATGAGAACTAGTTGGAGGTAGATATGGCTTGATTTCAACAAAAAGAACAAATGTGTTAGAGGAGCAAGCAGAGGCTGAATGACTGAATCAAAGAAGGGATTCTGCAGGGGATGGGAGAAAGGTTGATCCTACTCTGGAAGGTACTGTCCAACCATCTGATTCTAACTCTTCCTTTTTTAGTTGTAGAGCTAGTTCTTCTTTTCTCAATTTCCTGATCATGTATCTGGTCACTTGCTCACATATAACTCTCTAATTCTCAAACACACAGTGAGAGTGTAAGCTTCTCAAGGACTGGACTTTAACAACTATCTTTTTTATGATCCACCACAGAATGAGAGGCATCTGAAAAACAGCTGAAACTTTATAGATGTTATTCCCAGGTTACATTTTCTGTTTTGGTTTTTAAATAGGAGACATTTTGGTGCTCAGTGCTTGGGTAGGGGTAGGTGGGAATCATATGAAGAAAATGGAGGGATTTCTATTCTGATGCAGAAGGATAACTTGGATTTGTCGCACCACTTCCTTACCACAGTTGAAGACCAGCCCATACAAGCTTCCAAACTGCTGTCCAACCTGGTTCCTGGAGCTCTTTCTGTTCACCTACCTTCAGGTGTTCAATCTGCTTTTCCAGCTCTTTAGTACTCATAAAAGTCTCTGTAGGTGGAATATTCCCTTCAGTTTCCTTCAGCCATTTTTGGAAGGTCCTAACCAGCTTCCGAAATTCATCCAATTGCTCCTGACAAGATGATGCATCTTCCTCCCTGTCAACAACAACGAAGGCATTTTGTTACTTGCCAGACTAAGCTTTGTAAAGATGTCAACTTGAACTAAAACTACACTCATTCTGGGACTCTAGGCATCTTTTCCTTACAGGGCCTTTTCCTTCCCATAATCTTTTCCACGGCAGCTTTGGCTAAACCACCACATACAATGTAGGAGAGCATCAAACTAAGGAATCTGTTGCCCTTGTTTGGACATTTCTGGCGAGAGGAGTCTTTAATCTTACTCCAGGCCAAAGTGAAAGTGAGAGAAACTAAAAGGAGCATGCTATTTAGGTGCAATGATACAATGGAAAGAATGTAGGCTTTGGATCTCAAGTCCAGCTCTGTCACTTTTTAGGTAGTTGACTCTTTCAAGGCCAAATTCAAATGCTAATCCCCTTAGCAAAGAAGATGCTGAAACAGAGGCTCAGAAAAGTTAGGTTAAGCACACTAGGTGCACCTGGGTGGCTCAGTCAGTTAAGCATCTGCCTTTGGCTCAGGTCATGATCCCAGGGTCCTCGGATTGAGCCCCAGGTTAGGCTCCCTGTTCAGTGGGGAGCCTGCTTCTCCCTCTCCCCCTGCTGGTTCTCTATCTCCCTCTCTCAAATAAATAAATAAAATCTTTAAAAAAAAAAAAAGCACACAAATGGGTAAAATGAGCCAAGGACAAAGGAGAATTTAATTTCAAAATTAAATTTTAGAAGTGGCCACATCTATCAAACTTGAAGCCAGAGATCCTGGTTCTTCCTACAGGTAAATGGCCCCGAGTATAGAGGAAGAACAAGCTTTCCTGGCCTCTGTCCCCCTTCTCTCCACTAAGTAGCCTGAGGCTATAGTGTTGTTTTGAGCAACTGCTTTCCTCCAGTCACTTTCCTCAGGCAGTCACCTGCCAAATCAAGATTATATATATGGCTAAACCAAGAGAGGAAGTCTTATCAAGCTCTTAAACCCATGTGAGGTTTTCTAATGGAATCATGGCTTTTCAACAGTCAGCAGATAAAATGAAATCAGCCACCCCTGTCATATATTCCCATGTTTCCCTTAAAAGAAGAATCCAGACACTCCTCTAAAACAACAACTCAAATGTGGCCAAAGCAGAAAGGGAACCAATATAACCATTAATTACATCCGGAAAGTCTCTTCCAATTTTTCTCTTTACTTCAAATCCTGCCACAATCCTACTTGCTGCCCCAAATTCATTGTTAGGTCCAGGTGACCTGGGCTACTGATTGTACAGAGGGAAACTGAGCCCCATTACTGAGAAGGAATTCATGATTTAGTAACAGAAAACCACTAAGCACCGAGTAGATTGAATAGCTTTGCCTAAAAGAGGCACTTTCCAATCTCCTATGACTCAGTAGCAGACTTCTTGATGCCATCTTTTCTGCTAAAGGAGGAAGAGAAAATCATTTCATTCAATAGCAAGGAAAAATTAGCTCCCCCAATTGACCAACGCATATGAAAACTCACCTTTCTTTAACTGTCTTCTGTAGCTCTGTGAAGTCCTTTCTGAGATTCTGTACCCTGTCCTGGTGCTGGGATAGGTCGAGGGCAAAGCCACAGGAGCTCAGTTCTGTGACCAGGTTCTCGAGAGTCTCAAGGTTCTCCTGTTGATCTTCCATTTCTGAATTGAGCTCCTGTCAAGCAAACAGGAAAATGTACTAAATCCTCTGGTCATTATAAATAAATATACTCTAAAAAAAAAAGATGTCTATATTAAATCGGGGGCAAGTTCCCCCTAATCTGTAGAAAAAGAGGGAACAAAGAAAGAGGCATGCTCACTGGGTCAACTGCTAGATCAAAGCAATAAATACGGAGGATTTTTCCAATCCACCTGAGAGCAGCTAGGAATTGAAAATGAATCCTGTCTCCTTTAAACAAATGTTTAATGATTTGGGAGGCAGCATGACAGAATGAAAAGAATGGATGTTTTTGGAGTTAAAAAGATTCCTGAAAATCAATCACGGCTTTGCTACTTCTAGCGTGTGATCTTAAGCTATTAAATTTCTCTAAGCTTCCATAGCCTATCTCTTCTGTAAAACAGGGTAAACATACGCTCTCCACTATTATTTAACACTGTATTCAAGATATTAGCCAATGCAATTAGGTAAGAGAAAACAATTTGTGGCATACAAATTGGAAAAGAAGAGGTAAAACTGTATTTGCAGATTATATGAAAGTATACTTGTAAAACCCAAGAAAATCAATTATACAATGAATTAAACAATGAAGTAATCCAATAAGGTAGCAGGATATAAAACCAACATTTAAAAATCAAGAGTGAAAACTTCATTTACAATAGCAGCATAAAAGGTACAATTTTAAGAACTAACAAGAAACATGCAAAACCCTTATGAATAAAACTTTAAAATATTTTTGACAGACATAAAAGCAGACCTCAATAAATGGAAAGACACCCATAAAGATATGTGTGTACGTGTGTATGTGTGCATATACGCATGTGTGAATAAAACGTGATCCAAATAAAAATACCAATTGTCCCCCTACGACTAATAAAGTTGATTTTAAAGTTCACATGGAAAAATAAATGTACAGTTACCAGTGTGAAAAATCCTGAAAGAAAAAAAGAGAGAGAGAGAGACTAGCCCTCCTAGATAGTAAAACACATCACGAAGCCTCTAGAATAAAAAATAGTATGCTATGGTTCATGAACAGACAGACCAGCAAAGCAGAATAGAAAATCCAGAAATAGACCTGAGTCCACATGGACATTCTATATCTGATAAAGATGACTTCTCAAATCATTGGGGGGAAAAGATGGACTTTTCAAAGAAATGATATCGGGAACAACTAGACAGATGTTCAGAAAAAGAACTTGGATTCATATGTGCACTATATCTCAGAATGAACTTAAAATGTTAGAAGGTTCAAACGTAAAATAAAGACAGAATGAAAGGAAGAAACGATCCGAGTTCTAGAAGCAAGCATGGGTGAATTCCTTCAAACCTGGGTGTGGCAAAAGACTTTCAAAAATACATATTCAATAAGAAGTGATAAAATCTACTATGTAAAAATTTAAAAACCTCTTACATGACCAAAAACACTATAAGCAAAGACAAAGGACAAACTGAGAAAAAAGATTTTCAACATATCATATATAAAGAACTAACCTCCCTCCTACAGAACTCTTGTAGGTTGAAAGAAGAAGAAGAAGAAGAAAAAAAAAAACCCCACAAAGTCCTGACCGGAAATAGTAAAGGCCACGAATCAAGAGTTTACAAATAAATGTCCCTTAAATGTATAAAAATATACTCAACTTCATCAGAGAAAAAATAAAAATTAAAGCCACACTGAAATATCATGTTGTATCAATCAGATTAACAGAAACTCAAATGCTGTTCTGCTGGTGACGCTGTAGGGGAAACCGGTACTTTAGTGCACTGCTGGCGGGAATGCAAAATGGTGAAATCCTGACACACTGGCATCTAGGTGAAAAGGACGCTGGTGTTTATTGTGCCATTCCTTCTACTTTTCTGTAAGTTCGAAATTCCTCAAAATAAAACCCAAAAAGGACAGCAAACCAAACCAAACCATGGGATCCTACTTTAATATGGAAAAAGTTAGATGGATGGATAACCCCAAGACACCAATGCAGGGATATAGGAATGTTCAGGTCCTACAGGTGGCAATGTGGGCACCTGCAGCCATCCTGGAGTCAACGTGGCCACTCCTTGGTCAAAGTACAGGCATATACTCTGACCTACAATCCTACTCCTGCACATGTATCTGTATCTGTGGTAGGTAAGACTCTTCGTCAAATATTTCTAACTCTGCACCTACTAGGTATATGGTAGGAATACATTTCTCCACCCCCTTGAATGCCAGGTGTGAAACCTGCTTTAACTAATGAAACGAAAATGGATTTGAAATGCCCTCTCCCTGCTGGAGCAGTAGTCATGAAGGCGTAGGGCAGGATGAAGTCCCCATCGACTTGAATCCCTGAGTGACCATGATGAGCTAAGTGAAAAGTAAATCTAGGCTGTGTTTGTTTTTTTTTTTTAAAGGACAATATCTAGTTTACAGGGTGGTTGTGATAATTCTTTTTTGTTTTTTAAAGATTCTATTGATTTATTTGAGCGAGTGAGAGTGTGTGCATAAGCAGGGGGGAGGGGCAGAGGGAGAAGCAGACTCCCCGCTGAGCAGGGAGCCCGATGTGGAGCTCGATCCCAGGACCGGGAGATCATGACCTGAGCCGAAGGCAGACACTTAACCGACCGAGCCCCCCAGGTGTCCCTGGTTGTGATAATTCCTTAAGATATTGCAGGTAAAGTTTCTAGTACACTAACTGACATACTATGCACTCCTGTGATTGTTGGTCCCCGCCTTGCCCTTCTTTTCTCTTTGTTCTGCCACTGTGGCAGATATATTCTCACCTGGATCTGCTGGAAGAAATGTGCAATATCTTGATCTGGCTGATTTCCAGAGGCTAGCATCCGGCTTTTGTTTTCCATGAATTGCTGCAGCTTATCAGAGAGATGTTCAAACATCTCTGCCTGGGGCAGAAGCTTCTTCAGGGAGCTCTCCTTCTCTTGCTGCTGCAGACAGAGCTGTTGGAAGCGCTGGCTCACCTCTGCCAGTTTGCCCTGCAGCACTGCAGCCGTGGTGTTGTCTGCGGCCTCCATGAATCGCGTCACCATCTCACGGGTGGCCTCCAAGCTGCTCTTTTGCCGAGCAATGTCCTGCTTCAATTTCTGTCACCAAAAAATGTGTCTGTCAGCTCCTTGTTCACTTATCCTAGGGTATCGGAGCCATGAACTAATAATCTAATAATTCCATGCTCACCTCCTCGAGGAGGGTGGGATTGCAACTGAGCCTCTGACTACCAAACATCCCATCCCCTTAGTTCTCCACCCCATTCCATTAATGACTTCGCAGGGCCACTTTTCCTCAAGCTTAACAATGGTTCAGAAACTGGGTAGAAATATCTTTACATGGATCAGTTATCATCTCTAAGTCTTATTAGAAGATTCATGGAAATGAGTTCTTTTCCTGATACTTTTTCAAAATGATGTAATTATGGAACACAGCAAGTATGCCATCGATGCTAACTCTTGGGGCCTAGGTCTCACCATGTTCGTGGCCAGGGCTTCCTGGATGACGCCCAATGACAAGGATACCACCTGCTCCTCCTCCAGGTTTTGTTCAACTTCCCTGATGGACTGCAACAAGCTCTCCAGGCTTTCCTGGACACTCTGAGATCGGGCAATTGCCTTCTGCAGCAGAGCAGAGCGCTCAGCCAGGCTACTCAAGAGGCTTTGAAAACGGCTGAGTATGGAATCTGGAAAATCAAGGCCATGAGAATAGAGTGGAGACTATTTTCCTGTTGTGCTTTTAAAAAACAATGTATTTAAATCACACTTGTTAATTATAATAATAACAGGCATTAAGACAAATAGAAGGAATAAGCGTAAAGTGCATTTGTATTTGAGCTAAAATTACAAAGCATTATTTATTTAGCACCTACTAAGTGCCAGAAATTGTGCTGAATGCTGAGGACCGAAGAGAATTAAGATAAGTCCCTGGCTTCTACAAAAATAAGACTGTAAACGTGAGCACAGGCAGAAAAGGGCTCATCACAACTAACCACAAAAATAAAATTTTAAGTGCTATACTGATGCTAAGAGTAATGTACTAGAGAAGCCTGAAAGAAGAATGATTCTTTCTTATCTTTTATTTCTTTTGGGGGTTGGAGGTGGTGGCCAGGACTTTACAAAGGAAGCAACCTCTCAGGTACATCTAGAAGCTTGAGCAAGATTTCATCACACATGCTAAGCACTCAGTAAATGTTGGCAGCTAAACCATAGGGAAAACTTCGGGGGTAAAGTAATGAAGAAGTGACTAGTTTACTTGGGGAAGGAAAGAAGCGGGGCGTGGCTAGAAGGCAGAATGCCTGGGGAAAGGGGTTGAAACCAGATTACAAAGGCCTTCAATGGTACAAGAACAAAGTTCATCGAGAGTAAGCTCTTGCTGCCTGTGTCCTCAGCCCCTAGCCTGCACAGCAGATACTTGTAGGACACAGTGTGATGTATTACAGAACAGTGGCATGCACTGAGAATTAAGGGAGTGTTCTGGTTATGCTGCTTCATACCTGTAGTTTCTTGAACATGCTTGCGGTCTGGGGCTGGCTCGCCTTCAATTTCCATGAGGTCATGAGCTACTTTTTGGAGCTTTTCTACAGGTACTTGGTGCTCAGCTAATTCCTCCTGCAACTGCTGCTTGTCCATGAAAAAGGCCAAAAGTAAAACCTCTGAGTAATCGAAGCTGGTTCTAGGAACCAAGAGCTACTTAGCATAGTGCTACTAGAGCTACAAAGAATACTTCCATTTATCCGTACCCACAGATGTTAGAATTAAGTGTTTAGGAATCAGATCTTGTCCAAGGCATCCCAACCACTGCCTTTAAGCTATGTGAGTATTTGCTTTATTTGGGGTACTCTACCCCATGCGATAGAACAGCCTGCGTCCCAGCCTACCTTTGTCGTTGCAAGCTGCTGTTGCAGAACTCCAGGGTCCGAGGCAATAGTATCTGAGAGGAGCTTCTCCACATTGGCCTCACAGGCCTGTATCCAGGCCTGCAGGCTGTCAGTACAGCTCTGGAACTGCTGGTACTGGCCTAGGAGCACGTGCAGGTGAGAGCCCAATCGTGTACACTGTGCCAGAGAAAAAAGGGAGAGCAGGCTTAGGCCAGGTCTGGCTAAAGGCAGCGGCTTCCTAGGCATAGTCCAAAGAAAAGCCCGGTCTTGTTACAGGATCTCACTCTAACCACAGTGAAGGGCAGCGTCGAGCCCTCCAGGGACAGATGAGTAGCAAATCTTCTACAAGTGGGGCCTTTGTTGTTTGATCCGTACTATTCATCCCAAATTTATACTATATACCCGCGAAGACTGAGTTGTAGGACAAACCACCAAAGATGGTGATTAACATAACAATAAAAATATTTTTTAAAAAACCCCACCAAAGAAAGACACATTAGGTTGCAGGCTAAGGTAGGGAGGGACTGGGAGATACAGAGTGTTCCTTTTGGCTAGGTTAGAGATGTTGGCAAAGTGCACAAGACAGGTAAGAAGAACTGACTGGATTCTACAGCTTGGGAGCTAACGGGAGTTCTTTGATAGGGAGGAAGGCAAGGATGTACCCTAGACGCTCCGTGCAGGAATAAAGACTGTGTATGTGGTTGCAGTTTCCCCTGCACTGTGTCTCTTGGGAGCTCACGTCTGTTGGTCAGAGTACAGGAAGGCGAGCACCTCCACCTTCCCTACCAGAGTGACATACCTCTGATACTACTGGGATCAGGCATTAGCCCCTGGGCCTCCATGTTTTGCATTTTTGCAGAGCTCATAAAGACATTCTGCCTGTGGTCAGTATGTAATTCAGCTCACTCACTATGTCCTAAGGTTCTTTTTTTTTTTTTTCCTTTTCTTTTTTTAAAGATTTTATTTATTTATTTGACAGAGACACAGCGAGAGAGGGAACACAAGCAGGGGGAGTGGGAGAGGGAGAAGCAGGCT